TTTATTTTTTGTACTTTAAGATGTAGTCTCTCAGTCATAGTGTAAGTTAACTTGCACTCAAAAGTTTCCAGGTTTTTTTTTTCCCTGGATGTAAAGATARCTTGGTGTTCATTCCAAAAATAACTTGTTAACATGATCAGATCTCAGATGAGAGATTCCAGGAGAGAAAAATAAATAATTAAAAACAATCCACAGAGTGAGCATCAGCCCTCCACAGTTTGACTAATACTGTCCCAGCATGTTGTGTGAAGCTGCCAATGAGTCAGTGTGTGGGAGTAGCCCTCTCACCCAACTTTACAATTAACAATAAAAGGAGTGCGAAGCGGACCCCTGCAGAGCCAAATCATTGCTAAATGTCGGCCATGCTGCCAGCCATCTCGGGGAAATTTAAAAAAAGCCGTGTAGGACACGCTGCTCTGTCACTCCAGATGATCGACAGGAGGAGAACGGAGCAACTGCGAAGCCGATGCATCAGGGAGAAGCAAACGTTTGGATCTCACGCGTCTCCTGCCTGCCTTTGCACAACTCGTGCTGCTGTCTTGCCGGGACGCAGATGACGGTTTCTTGATCTCACTTATTTTTGCACGGCGCAAGTCGCGGAGCTCGTGCCGGCTGCACCCCACGTGTGACCACGTTTCCTCCGAGCGACGGTCCCTCCTGAGGATAATTCATAATTCATGCCCTAGAGCCAAAACACAGAGTAAACAAACAGCGAAATGAGGCGCGGGAGGGAAACGAACACGCCCTGGTTGGCTCAGGCTGCTGTGTTACACAGCTAAATGTGTCAGATCTTATCCTCGGGACTCTTTAGCGTGATAAATATTTCATTGAACTGCAACGCTAGTTTCAGAGTCGAAGACTGCGACTCGGGAGGATACAACCGAAATGTCAACCAAACTTTAACCGGAATTCGAAACAGGGAAAATTTTATACGTTTGTTTTGTTTTTTTTTTACAACACAACACTCTCCGTCTCTCTTTCTTCCTCCAGACTCCTCGCTGCCAAGCGATGCAGACTGGCCGGGTGCCAAATCATAAGGCATGCTCAGGTCTTGATGAGAGTCTTAATTATTTAATAGCCACGTAGGGAGCAGTCAGAAGAAGCCATCTGTTGTGTCTGGGACTAACAGGGTGGCCGACTGGGTGGTTTGAGGGTGCGACCCAATCTCACAGCTGGTGTTTGTATCATAAAAACACTGATGGTTTCCTCGGTAGAACAGGGAAAGTCTCATCCTATCAGAATCAAAAGATTCCTGTTTTTTTTTTTTATGATAACAGCAGGTTATATCAATATTAACAGGGAGACAGCAGAGATCCCCATGAGAGAGAGATACTGCATCTCTCAAGCTTTCGTCTGCCGTGTATTTCAGCTGAAAGCGTCACGGATCCTGGGAGTTAAACGTGCTGACAGGAGGCCTCATGTTCAGCAGCGAGCCGCTTCGTCCAGGTATTAAGCCCAGGTGTCTTTGTTACTCTGTGCTACACGAGGTCCTCAGGGGTCTGACAGCACGCTGAAGTGCTGCACTCACCATTCTGCAACAAAAAGCCCCTCGACTGAGAGCAGCAATGAAAAAACCCACCCTGAAGAGTGAAGCGTTCTCAGAGAGCTTCAAACTGCGGTGGCCTGATGTGAAAACGTCTCCTGTGACAATGCTCAGAAGCTGCACTGCACCACCTGGGCACAAATGTAAGAGCCTTCAGCGGGAGTGTTAAAATCGCACTGATTGAAAGAAGAGATGTTTTTAAATTGGGTTTTCAAGGAGCGATTATCAGTAGTCAGTAACTTACCTGTAATAGAAGGCAGTGGAATTCTCATGGAATGAATATGCTAGAAAAATAGTCAGAGAGACCCACTGGGAAAATAATTGTGTCTATCTTGAAACTTTTAAATCTCAAAAACATCAAAGCAGTTCAAATATACAGTTTACATTTGAACAAAATCAGCCTAGCAGTTTTTCCACATTTATTTAAAAATTTCAGATTAACTGGTGCGTTTCTATTCGTAATCAGAAATCAGAAAGAACTAGTTCGGTTTGTGTACTTTTGGATCATTTTTTTTATTTTATTTTGAAAACAGGTTGAAGAACAAAAACGGACGGTCACTTGTTTTTTTAGATTTTTAGTTTTGAAAAATAGATATTGTAAAACAAAAAATGGATGTTATTCTATTTTCATTTTATACGCCAAAAAAGGAAATATGGTCCGTCTTTTTATTTTTGTCAAACCGAGTTTAACAAGGTTGATGGATATTTTTAAACTTTATCATTTTTATATTTGATCCTATTGCATTAATCAACTGTATTAAATGTCTTTCTTGCTGCCATAATTTTCATCTCTGCAGCTTGCAGTGACTGATAAGCAACCCTGTGATTGGTCAAGATGTTTCTCTCTGTGCTCTGCTTGTAATAAATTGTACAGTTTTTCCCAGCGGAGGTCAGAACTTTCTGGTGAGACCTGTTTTTAAGCGTCCTCAGAAACTTCTCACTCTTTGCAAAGAGAAAGCTGTCTTAAAACTGAATGCTTRCGTCTCTGTCTGCTTTATTTCTTTTTAAGGGGTAATTTAATGTCAACTCWGACAACGGTCTTCATGGCAACTTAACGCTGTCCTGTGAAACCTGTAGTTTCTCACCATGGACCTTTTGGATGAAGGATTAATGTGCTAAAAACAGTTTGAATCATCATGGATACACAATTACTAGCTGACATCCGTTAAAGAAATGTAAAACTAGTTAGTGTTTATTTATTGCGGCTGCCTGGTTAGATAATTATTATCAGACCAATATTAATATTAATAAAAAAAATACAGTCTGAAGTTAGCAAGTTAAAGAAATGTAAAACTAGTTAGTGTTTATTTATTGCAGCTGCCTGGTTAGATAATTATTATCAGACCAATATTAATG